CTTATCAACATAACAACCATCATTGTATATATACATAGATAGAAGGAAACTACATGTGCAGGCCTTAAATTACCTCAGAACAGAAGCATTCCATGCACAACTTCTAGAAAACTCCATTTATACTCACTAGTACCAAGAGCAGGAATTTGACCTGTGAATTAGAGAGTGCTGAGCACGAGAACACTGTGCTCCTCAGTCAAACCTTCCTCTAGTGTCTGTGCAGAAAAAAAAGCCCAGAGGTTTTGCCACCCTCTTGAGCCATTAGATGACTATGAATTAAGATATAGATTCCAAATTAAAAACACCCTTTGGAAAGGCATGGTTTGGGAGCATACTGAGAGCTTACAGGTCATCATCCCGGTCAGGCAGCCTTGGAAACTCCTGTCACAGTCCAACAATCAATGTGTTTACCAGCATCGCCTCTCCAGGTCTCCCGGGTGCTGATCCCATGATGGCAGAGGCAGGGTTACAAGTGACAGGGTAAATGCCCGTGACAAGGCACTACGAAATCTTGGCATCCTTGAGAGGGGATGTCACCTCCAGGTTGCATCTAGCCAAAAATGCAAGACAACAGTACCTGAAATAATGGACACAGGTGGCAACGTGCAGGCAGGCAGGCATGGTATAAAGCCTTCATTTTTTTGTGTGACATTTCAGAGCCTGAAGATCATCCACATGGAAACATGTGAACCAGGCTTAAGTTGTCACCTCTACATGGCAGAAGGCATTTATAATGCACTTGGTAACCTACAGAGACCTTGTCCCAGAATGGGAGACCTCTGGTATTCCCACAGGATGAACAATGACGGGAGAAAATACTGAAAATAAGAAGCCTCATCAATGCAATTTCTGCTTCTCGCTATCAGGAGCTACAGAGAAACTCAGAGGGGGGACACGGTGGCCTTTCTCTTGAGAGATTACTGGCCTCAAAAGCAATGTGAACACTGAGGCTATCTAGACAGAAGAAAAAGGGAGGGAAAAATCAAGGGAACAGAGACTCTTGGAGATTTAAAACCATAAAGGTCACTCTCTCACAAAGTGTCAGAAGGGCAAATGAAACCATTTCTCATAAGCCTGTGTGGGATCAAGTCACAGAGGAGATTTTGCCGGAAGAGACACAAAAAATAATTGCCACTTCTTCCACTGGACTTGCAGAGACAAACAAGTGACATTTCAAACACTGGGTGTGTGCATTAAGCAGCCACTTGTATCACTATCATCCCACAATCCCGTAAATGTCAGAGGCTCCCATTTCCAAGACTTCTGTAGAATAAAAGTTACCCGACTGCTCTCTGGCAACGACTTCCAACTCTGTAATGTTTACTTTACATGGCTTGGGCTATTCTAATTACTTTCAAGATAACAAAAAACAAATGTAAAAACTTCACCTCTGTTCACTGCCTCTTAAATTAACTGTCTCATATTACCAATATTTGAAAAAAGTTCTGAGGACATATTAATATTTAACTTTTCATTACATTGATCTAAAGTACAAAGACAAAATTCCCTAATACAGCATTGCTCAAAGCTGATATACATAATTCATTCCACCTATTCGGGATACATGTTTTCTCACTGAGGAAAAAGTATGCATTGGCAGCAACATCATGAGACTCCGGTTGAAGATGGGATCTTGTTCTTGTTTTATAGAAAAAAGTCAAATATATTTCTCTTTT